AGAGGAGCCCCCCCAGAGGAGGGGCACCCAGAGGAGGAGGACCCAGAGGAGGAGGACCCAGAGGAGGAGGACCCAGAGGAGGAGGACCCAGAGGAGGGGGACCCAGAGGAGGAGGACCCAGAGGAGGGGGACCCAGAGGAGGAGGACCCAGAGCCTGAAGAGGCTTGATGCTGCTGGGTTTCTATGATCCTTTACGGTGTCGGGATCAGGAGGGATTCTGATCAGAAAGCAACTCGGTGGCAAATCGACTGATTCTCTGAATGTGGAGTCGGCTCCTCAGAGGCCCATCTTACTGTTTCAGAACCCTTCCTGGACCAGGCCGGGTCCAGGTCTGGTCCAGGATTGGGTCTGGTCCAGGTTTGTCGGGTCCAGGTTGGTCAGGTCCAGGTTTCGGTCTAGTCCAGGTTTGGGTCTGGTCCAGGTTGGTCGGGTCCAGGTTTGGGTCTGATTCAGGAGGCTGGATGTGGTCATGTGACCGCTCGGCTTTGTGGACTCGGCAAAAAGCTGCCTTTACCTCGAAGCTGCAGAGTCCAGCCTTCATTGAGGAGTCCCTCCCTTTAATCTGGATGAACATTAACGGGAAAAGTCCTGACTTTGGAGCCTGAATGAAGGGTTGGGTGTTTGCCCCCCCCCTTTGGCCCACCTGTCCAGCAGCAGATCGCCACACAGCACCAGAGCTCCTCCCCTCCGCTCAAATCTCCCTCTGTAATCCTCCAGGAAATCTCCTGAGCAGCAGCCGGCTGCCAGATTCCTCACAGCCCTCGTCGGTCAGGCTGTGAGACCAGGGCCGTCCAGAGAGTGTTTCTGACCCCACAGAGGACCCGGTGGGGGGGCAGCAGGGGGTGAGTCCACACATACGGGCGGCCGGCTTTCCGTACGTCTGAGCTCAGAAGGATTTGAGTCTGCTGTAGATGTTTGTGGTCGGACCCTCTGACTGACGGCTCGGTTTCCCAGGATGCACCACTGTGGGGTTCCCCCCCCCTCCGGCTGAGCTAACGGCGCGTTAGAGGAGGGAGAACTGGGTTTTATGGGACAGTTTGTTTGACATCAGAGGAGTTTTCCAGGTATTTGAGCCCTGGCTGGTAGAGAGGTGGAGAAAGAAACACTTCTGGTGTCTGAAATGGGTCAAACTTGTAGTCCAGCAGCAGATGCCGACCAAAAAAGCGACTTTAGACCTCACTTCCTGTTTAAACCTGTACACTGGAGCCACGTTCAGACCAGAATTCATCAGGAGAAGAGGTGAAAAAATGTGTGGAATGAAAAGCACTTTTACAGAGCTCACAAAGCTGTCTGAGTTTATCAGGAACAAACCACCTCTATCAGAAAATGGAGGCTAGCTGAAAACAGACAGAGGGCACTTTTTCTCTCTGAAATGGCAGCGACTGAGCCGGAGCTCAGAGAAAACTCTGATCTGAGGCTGCTCACTGAGCTACTCCAGCTGGAAGAGCTCCACTTCCTCTGGGTCCCCTCCGCATGTTCAGCCTCTCACTGAAGAAAAAGGTGTCAAATAAAAGTAGGAAGTGTGTAATCTTTCCTCTCTTTTCTCATTAAACCCCCTCCCTCCCCCTCGCCGCCCATCAGAGCTAAAATGGTCGATGTTGTGGCGGCGCGCGCCGTGCCGTCGGAGACCGAGGTTCATGTGGCGAGGAGCTTCCTCACCAAGATTTTGCGCAGCTCTATGAGGTACCGATGGGCGCCCGGCTAGCTAACAGCCTGATGGCGGCCTGATGGCGCCCGGCTAGCTGGTGGCCTGATGGCGCCCTGATGGCTCGATGGCTAGTGGCCTGATGGCGGCCTGATGGCGCCCGGCTAGCTGGATGGCGCCCTGATGGCGGCCTGCTAGCTGGCTAGCGGCCTGATGGCGCCCGGCTAGCTGGATGGCGGCCTGATGGCGCCTGGCTAGCTGGCTAGCGGCCTGATGGTGGCCTGATGGCGCCCGGCTAACTGGATGGCGGCCTGATGGCGGCCTGATGGCTGGATGGCGCCCGGCTAGCTGGATGGCGGCCTGATGGCGCCCTGATGGCTAGCTGGGTAGCGGACTGATGGCGGCCTGATAGCGCCCGGCTAGCTGGCTAGCAGCCTGATGGCGGCCTGATGGTGCCCGGGTAGCTGGATGGCGGCCTGATGGCGGCCTGATGGCGCCCGGCTAGCTGGCTAGCGGCCTGATGGCGGCCTGATGGCGCACGGCTAGCTGGATAGCGGCCTGATGGCTAGCTGGCTAGCGGCCTGATGGCGCCCGGCTAGCGGCCTGATGGCGGCCTGATTGCGCCCGGCTAGCGGCCTGATGGCGGCCTGATGGCTGGATGGCGCCCGGCTAGCGGCCTGATGGCGGCCTGATGGCGCCGGGCCCCTGTGTTGTGTCCCGGTCTCCCGGTGTGGTCGGTGTTGGTGTTGGACGGTGGCCTGTGAGGAGCAGTTCTAGGAGCAGTCATGTGACCCCAGTGTGGTTTTAGACGTAGTTGATGTGGTGTTTATGGTGTTTATGGTTTTTATGACGGACTGAACTGTTCTTCTTCCACACGCCGTCCAGGAGGAGCCGCTTCAGAGGGTAGGTGGGTTTAGGCGGAGCCTCGCTCTGACGGGAAACGTTAGCATCATCTCCATGAACTCAATCTGCTCAATAAAGTTTGAGCTATTCAGGGAGACGCTTCCACCTTCAGCTATTTCAAAGTCCCGCGTCGTCTAAAAATTTCTTCCAGAATATTTTGAGTAAAGTCCTGTAAAAAGTGCACCAGAGGCTCCAGGAGGCGGCAGATTTAGTTTATT